GGCCAAACTCCATTTTTTATTGATGTTCTGAACTTACCATTTGTTTAGGGGAAAACAAAAAACCCAAAACACAACCGAAACTGATCGTGGGGATTCACATGCAGGAGTGCCTGATCTGAGAGGGTCAGTCTCGTTAAGGGCTGTGGTGGAAATCCAGTTACATCCTCAGGAGCACATTACACAGTGGGAGGTAAGGTTTTAGTCCTGTAAAGGTACCATTATCCATTCCCTGTCCTGGCAGTAAAACCAGAAATGTTTTATTAGAAACAAGCTTTTAAGTATATAAGTCAAGTAACAAGAATACACCATATACAGGGAGACTTAAATGTAAAAAGCAATGTGGGAGTGATGGGCAATAAAGAATAAACTCTATGCTGTGTTTGATGTTTTAAACATAAGTTTAAAAAGTTTCTTAAGAGGTGAAAATGCTAAACTGCATTTAAAAATTCGTCTTGGCTTTCAGAAGAGAATCACATCAAGGACCACTTCAGACATGAAATGACCTAATTTAGTGATGCCAGCTATTGGTATGGTCACTCATATAAATCTGCAGGTGTGTTTTAACTGCATTTGTCATGTTCTTGCTAGCTAACAGAAACTGAGGAAAGTTTACAGAAAAAAGGACTAAATGTAACTGTGATGTGGTTGGGAAAGGTGGGTAGCTGAGCCACCTCCCTGTCTTGTGACCCAAAGAGGACATAGGCCACAATTTCATGCATTTGCTGTATTTATCTGTAGTGAGTAGTAGTCTGCATGTAATTTGGAAATTGATATTTTACACTTGAAATATTAAAATATAATTTGTGGGAACATTTCTGCTTAAAAAAAAGTGAAGTCTTCATTGTAGAATCCATGCGAAATATCAGATTTCTGTAACAGGGAGAAAAGAAATTACATAATTTTAGTGACCAAAGATTGCTTTCCAAAGCCATACATGTAATTTTAAATGAGGTATAGTTAGTGATTGTACAATGGTAGTATGTAAAGATCTAGGTGAAGGAAGGGCAATTACTATGGCAAATGTTATTCTGGTATTACTATACCATAGTAAAAAAGGAAATTTTGTACTCTTGATACTGCTGGAAAATTGCTATTCTGTTACATAAGGACCACATCATACAATACATGTGAAAAGAATTAAAGTGAGTTTGCATAGGTAGACTTTTTTAATTAGTGAGCATATGACTTAATAATGTTAACATTCTTTAAATTAGTGCCGTGCTGGATACTTGACAGCAAACCCAAAGAAGCAATAGCTTCATTTTATTAATGCGGAGATTGATTCCTACCTCCAGAAAAAAATACACAAGCCTCTCTACATTCCTCTTCACTGTCAAAGCGGTTTGCATTTCCGTTGCAGCCACCATACCAAAACTGAGCACAAGCATTGGCTTGTTTATCATAATACCATTTTATGATATAAACACGGCATGGCCCTTGATCCAGCCTTAACCTGCACCGGAGGTCCAGGATACTTTCTAAAATAAAGAAAAAAAAGGAATAGAAACAATTCTGTTTCAGTAAAAGTCAATTGTATTGCATAGATCTTAACTTTTAAACTCTGATTTTATCTTATTTTTTCTGCTAATGTTATACAGCAGTTTAAGATTGACTTTTACTTCTAAAGATGTTAGCATTGAAGGCAAGTTAAAAGTGCATCAAGTAAACTGTTCCTTAAATGGCATGGTTCTAGTAACTCCAGGAATAACAGTATTATGGTTCCACATACAAGAAGAGCAAACAATATGAATCTGATAATTTTGAAATCTATTTTTTTAAATATAATTGCCAGCAACCAGTCCTGTTAGCAACCCAAAATTGTAAGCCAAAGAGCTGTAAGCTAGTTGCATCTGTTATTTTTGAACCACAAGTGTGACCATCATCCTTCTGCAGTACATTGCTTCAGTACATTAGTTCTCCTTGTGGTGGGGGGCGGGGGGAAGAGGCATTAGAATAGTGAGAAGACTATAAAACTTCAGTCATTCTTTTGTAAGATGTTTGTGCTACTTATCTAATACGATGACAGTAATTATGTACATACTAGTTAAGTATGTACATACTAGTTAAGTTTGAATGTAAAGCTTGTTGGTCTAATGATTCCTACAGATACGTATTAGAGGACTGTGACATACTAATCTAGTCTCACTCACTTTAATAATATAATGAGATAGATAGAAAATACTTTTCCTTCAAATTTAACGTTGTGACATCAATATTCTGTCTTTGGCAATTGGTATCTTGACACTTAAAAGAAAATGTTATTGCCAGAGACAGAGTAATAGTCATGCCCATGTTCCCAGGAAGTGTGGGAACGTGTTTCTATTGCTCTCTTCTGTTGCTCCTATCATAATACATTGTTACTGGAACTCAAAAGTGTGAATCGCTCAAATGATGAACAGAATACATTGGACATTCCATAAGAAAAGAATCAACCTTTTGAGCAGTCATCTAATTACTATACTTTCCTTCAAATGACTAAACACCGTTTTTTACTATTTCTCCTCTAAAGGAGAAATCTATTTTTTCTGTCCAATTCTGAAATCATTATGTTCTCTGTCTTTAATTAAGCCTCCCATCACCGTAGATTGCCCCTTCTTGGCTGATGAATTACCTGCTCACTGGCCCGCCTCAGCTAGCACTATGTTCTATTTTTGATGCCATTTATGAGCTCTGTCTCAAGTTATAGCTGACCTTGCTTCTGCTGTAAGTGGAGCAATGAGATTTGGAATTTGGGAAGACAAGAACTGGTGAACAGGCTGGACAAGAACTGCAACTAGGTCTGTTATAAAATCCTGAAATGGATTACAGCATGGGCTCACAAAATCTTCAAAGAGTGGAACAAAATTACTCTGATTTAAAGCCTTGTGAAGAATTACTATCAGGATAAGATGGAACAAAATGAAAAACTAGTTATGATCTATAACCTGATCTTGGTGTGAGCTCTGCAGTTGGAAGAGATGATGTCATCACTTTATCTGATGATGACAGTTTAGATCGCAATACTGGTGCCACAGCTGCAGGTGAAAAGAAACAGAATGAGATTGATTTTTGATCAGCCAAAAATGAAGATGAAGAAATGAATGATGATAAAAATACCTCTAGTGTCCACTGTTAGCAAGGATGACTGTGCTTCCTCCTCTTGTTTATCTTCGTAGGCTTCATACACTACCACAGGGGGTACTTTGGTCTGAAATAAGCATTTGAGTTTCTTTGCTTTTCAGATATTGTGAAGTGTCTCAAAATGAACAAGCCCTTCATCACTTAAAGGTTTTCTAATGTTTTTCTTTCCTGTTTACCCTGACTTCAGTGTTAAGAATCAGGATTTCAACCTCACCTGGTTGGTTTACCAGGAGGGCTGTCAATCCTAAACCTGGGATATATATATTTTTTAGTTGACCTTTACAGAATTTTAGTTATAAACTTAAAAATACAGACTACAATTGGTTTTAATTACTGTTCTCAGACTTAATTATTGCAGTGTAATTGCATTTTAATAATGTTATCTTTCACACTGTGGCACAAATATTACTGTATTAAACAAAGGAATAATAATCCTTGTAACACTACCAGGTATAAATTATAGCCATTAGATAACTGCCTGCATGCAGCATCATAACTCTTACTTGGAACAACAAGCTCCAAGCATATGAAGTTAAAGGAGCTATTACAGTACCTGTCCTGTAGAAAAGTAGGCAGAAAGTTATGTATTACATCAGGCAACAGAGAAGGAGATATATATATATATATATAAACTTTTGCTCATTAAAGCCTGCTGAATTTTCATACCGGAGTTAACAGTTGAGGAAGATTGGCAAGACTCAGAGGACTTTCTACTGTAGATACTCCAGGTGTCTGTGCTGAAAGTGATTGTCTGTTAACATTGCTGTTCTGAGGTATGTAATGTAAAGAAC